TCTTCCTAATGATGGAACCAACACTTGCTTGAAAAAAATTTATTATTAAATTTTCTTCACTCCTAGAAATATATGATATACTGATTATATATATATAAATTTTTCAGTAAGTGTTGGATCCATATTTATTTAGGCAGATTTTGATAAAAATCTTTATTAGGTACAATTTTAGAACTTTTAATACATAATTATATTTAAATAATAAAAATTTATATCTTTAATATTAAATATTTGGCACATTAGAGTTAAATTTTACATCTATTTTTTTAAATTAATGTCTACTTTTGTAATGTAATATTAATGCAAAATTAATTAATTTTTCTTAAAATCAGATTACCAACATTGGTAATTATAAAATATTTCAACAAATTCATACTATATTATGTATGTATATAAAGATCATGTTTGTATTGTCATATTATGTTTATTGTTTGCATAGTATGTTTGTTCAAGTATAATTTATATTAACATATATATTTATTTATTTCGTTGTGCCTGCAATATATGTATAATATTTGTGGCACTTTAATGTAATTAGTAAAATACTATAAAATCTTTGTAAATTGCTATTTTAAGGATTAATAGGTGTTATTTAAAATAATTTCTTGTTAAATATTTTAAATAGAACGATTTTGTTAAATATTTTGAATAGAACGATAAAAATACACGGATGTATGCGCAAAGCATTCTCGCGGATGACTGCCTTGCGTATGTGGACATTTCTGGAATTCGTTTTCGTATGTAGAATTAATTAAAACTTGCAAAGTAAAAGTGATATCCGAGTCTCTTCCTTCTCTATATAAACCGACCTGCCACAGTTTCGTAGTCACACTATCAAAGCACTTTGTGGTCGGCCACAGGGCCGCAATTGTGCTCATGTCGGCCGCAAACACGCGCTTTGCAAGCTACGCTATAGTATACGACTTGGTAGATTCTGCCAATTCGTCAAGAATAATTAATGAAAATCAGCTCTTTTCCCTTTTACCCTCCGATCTCGTTCTTTGGGTTAGAGATACATCTCCCTTACTAACGCAATTGACGATAAGGCTTTTTATGCTCGTCGTAAATCTTGTGCTACATCATACGGAATACTTTAACGCGTCTCGTAATAGTATTCAATGAGATCATTTGAGCTATTTATATTTATATGAACTTTATAACACCTGATCCTTAATTTTTAGGTAAATTCTTTGTAATAAATTTGGAAGTGATTATTTAAATCGAGAACATATTAAGTGATATAAACAGAGCATTTATTCTAAAAAAAGAATATTTTTTGCAAACTAATCTTCAATAATGTAATTAAATAAAACAAAAAAATTAAATTATTATCATTATTATTATAATAACTATTTATTTACTTTACTCTTTTGTAAGATTTTAATTTAAATTTTAATAACTTTAATTGAAGTTCTGTATAAAAAAATATTTAACGTTGAATATTAAAATATTTAAATGCATGATGGCTTTGTTTTAAAGTTTTCTTAATAATCAGTAAAATTAATTTCAAATTTAGAGAAAATTCAATCTGCAATAGAAATGTTTGATATTCCAGAATATCCAGCATATTACATCTTAACATATTGTATTTGATGCTTATTATCCTTATCATAATAATTCATAAGTATGAAGATGCATATGTGCATTTGTTTCTTTTTTCAATCCTTGAAATATTTAGCATCTATTATTTTTAAAAATAAGATAAAATAAGATAAAAATAGGGTAATTCTTGTAGATAAAATTATTATTTAAATACTCTCACGAGATATTATTTCAAAATAATTTATTTTCATTTCTGTGTTATTAAAAGAAATGGTGCATAAAATCGACTAATACGCTTGCAGCCGGAAGTGGCGCGGTAATTCATTATCGATTAATCATTGGAACACCGACGAATGTAGCATTATATCTGTACTGTCATTAATATCGATATCAGCTTTCGCGATTAACGCCGATTCGCGACGGATTTAAACTCGATTCATGGAATCGGAATCATTTCATGGGAAAGTAATTTACTCCGCAAGAGAGCATTACAGGAAGAATGTAAAAAACTTTTTTCTATTTCTTGTAAGTTTTTTAATGAGGGAAAAAAACGTGCTTGTACATGGTTTGCTAAAAATCATAACTTTATAACGTATTACAGATTAAAAATCGCTATAAATTCAATTCTTTATATTGTGTCAATTATTGATCGTTGCAAGAGCGAATAATACATAAAACATAAAATTCATGCATCTATAACGCAAAATTCTGCATCTATAATATTGAAATTTGCTTTCACCGAAGCAACATCAAGGTTTCAAAGAAGTTTTCATCTCTGTACGCGGTGCATCAATTTCACGCAAACGACAAAAATCGAATGCACCCTGCGCAACTTTAAGGCGCCGCAAGCTGCCAAATATCTGGCAGCGTTTTCCTCAGCGACACGAGTCGCCAGAAGAAACCCTCTCTCGCGGAGGGTTGGGCGACGCGGTGGTGTGTTCGCTTGGGTGTTTCGAGGCCGCGTAGTAGGGAGCTTGCGCCTAGCCAGGCCGACTGGCTCGAGCTTGCGAGCTTTCTAGCAGCAGCCAGTCGCCGGCTGCCGGGCCACGACCTCGCATCAACCCGGCTGCTCGTTCGCTTGATTCGATGCTGCGCGAGAGAGCTTTAGTCACGTTTCTGCAGATCTCTTGAGTTTACGTCCGAGTTTTTAATAGACTACATTCTCTATTGAAAACCTCCGTCTAATCATGAAGATGTCACGAAAAGGGACGAGCTCCGCAAAACTCTGAAGACTGTGTAAAAATATTTAATTATATTATATTTCCGTCTGTAAGCTTACTTACACAGAGTGTTTAGTTAATACTGGAAGCTTTTGCAATTGGATTTATTATATTAGGCGTGAGTTTGTTTGATTAATTTATTTTACTTACTTAGTTAATTTTTTTGTAATAATTATTTTGTAATCCGCAAGATATCGAGTGAAAATTCTCGTGGTGTGCGAACTTTCTCGGAGCTGTAAGCTTCAAGTACGGAATTCGGACGTGTAAGAATTCGTGTCAGGGATTGTGGTATCGAAGGTTGAAGGTCGAGGTCGAGTGTGAGAATTACGTCGTGCGAAACAAGTGACGCCCATCGGTTGTTTTTCCGAAGAACAGCGGAGTATGGCGGATGGGTGACAGACGCGGATCCATTGCAGGCTGAAGGTGTTTTTCAGCATCGGTGGGACCATGTGAGGCTTCAACCATGAGGGTGAGCGCGTGATTGTATGATTATAACTTTTCTTTATGGACAACAATATTTTCTTTATGGACAACAATAGTTTGAGAATTTTTTTCCTTCAAGAAAGAAAAGTAGATTTTTTCACAATGCTTTTACATGATTTAGAAAGTTTAAAAGAAAATTTATTCTTTAAAGAAAATTGAATCTAAATTGTATCCAAATTGAATGTTAGAATTTGTATTATGACTTAATTAGTATTACATGGAAAATGTTGTGAATCATATATTGCATTAAAGTTAAAAAGATTTATTAAAATTAAAATACATATTCTACATATATTGGCTGCCAATTGTCTCGAAACTTGTAAAAATTTACCACGAGAAAATGTTTACGTAAATGTATACATATAAACTGTGTAATTATGATACTCTGGTTATAAGAAATTATGATAATTATGACATAATATATAAAATGATGTATAATATATAAAAAGTTTTATTGTAAATATAATGTTTGATTATTATACTGTCTACGAGAATCACATATCTAATATCACCAACATGTAGTCAAAATTTATTAGTCGAAAATATTTCTTTATGACAATGGATTTTGTTAATATTTAAAAAAATTTTATAAAATAATATTAATAAAAATGTTAGTAATTCTTTTCATAGTTATTACCATTTATTAATATATGACAATTTCAACCCATGATAACTTCAACCCATGATTTTAACTTTTTTTGTGTTATTTAATGATTGAGTTATTTAAACTACTCTTTGTGTAATGGAATATTTATAAATGCTGTTCTCTTCGCAAACAAACATTATAAATTAAAAATAACATTCAAATTTATTATACAATATATGTGTGTGTGCGTGTGTGCGTGTTGTGTGTACACTATGCAGTAGTGTGTGTGTGTGTGTGTGTGTGTGTGTGTGTGTGTGTGTGTGTGTGTGTGTGTGTATGTATGAATATAAAATGCTCTAGTTTTTAAATATTAATCATTTGAAAAAAGAATAAGCGTGTTAAGATAAATTTTTATTTTATTAAAAAAATTTTGTAATTATAAAGTGAATGATTATCTACTGATGATTATCTACTTGTAAATTTTTAAACTAACTTGTTCAATTTTCAAAATGACAAAAAAGTTTTTCTTACACAGAAAACATTATCAGAAGAATTATCAAAATTATCATTATAATCGCTATTATCATTATAATCGCTATTATCATTGAATGAGCATATGATATATCTATAACTTTTTGCTTCTTCAAAACAGTTTCGATTATTTTATGCTAATTAATCTTTGTAATTGATTAACTAAAAGCAATTCAGTAAATTATTTTAGCTGAAATTTATATTAGCGTGTGTATCTGCTTTGATATACATTTGCTACATGCTTATTTTCGATTCACATATTTTAAATCATTTGAAAGAAGATATGTAATTTCTGCATAAAGTTTTGTAACCAATTTAAGAGTCTGACAGATGTTTATTTTCCAAAAGATTTTCCAATCATTTAGAAAATTTATTTCAGGAATTTAAGTAATGTCAGTCTTTAACTACCTTTATGGAATAATTTAACGTCAAATAAAACGCGTTCGAATGCGACAAAATATGTAATAAGGAATGATTTAAGTGACAACAGATTAAAGTCATCCGGGGAATTACAGTAGGTTAGCTCTCCGGTCTGTCGACCCCGTAACACCAACGCCATAATACCCCTGGGCGAATTTTCATCCATGGTAGTTGGAGCGCAGCGTGGCATAACTTCTACTAACTTAGCCGACTCAAATTGGGAAGTGTACCAGGCTGCGGTACTTCGAAATGACTTAATCGATGATGTTCAAATTTTGTATCGTCTTAATGTCACAGCTAAAATAATTTTCGTATCTCTTATAATTTGAATTACATGCAAAATGAAATCTTCAACATTATAAACATTCTTAAATTATAGATATTTTTTAAATTTTATTAAGATATCTATATATCTTTTTCATGGAATTAAAAATAGATGTGATATATGTTTGAAAAACAAATTATAGAAATTTTTATTAAGTCTAATTTAAAATTTATATTGCAAAGTTAAAATTTTAAAATTAAAGTTTTTATTATTTATAATGAAATTTATATTATATCTGTTATATAATTTTATCCATTACCTCTGTATTATCCGAAAAGTGATAACAAAATCTCTCTAAAATTTATAAAGGTTCCTTTTTGCGTCCTCTGCGGGATGCTGAACTATTATTCGAACCTATTAAAAGATGCATACTATGATAAACTCGGAAACTCGTCGCCATATTAGGCAAGTTTGGTCGCAAACTTGGGTGGTAAATTTTATTTGCACCGCTAACACGTCGGTACTTGCCGAAGATTTTCCCTTTGATAGTTTCGGGTATAGGTTGAAAAAAAAATCGTTCGAGAGACACTCACGACGTACTTCACTTTAAGCTCCAGTTGGCGCGAGAAATTTCGAAAAGTTCGAGACAGGTGTCGACAAGGAAAACCGGAACATCCTCTAAGATAAATTACACATCTCGTCTGGCAAAAAAATCCCATTTTAACTTTAAACTTTAAGCGATGAATTAAGCTTGCAAGTATGTAGTTTGTACATACTTTTTGTGTTGTAAACATGTCTTTGCAAAGAAATTTTTTTGTAATTAATAAGTTTATTTTAATGGATCGCATTTACAATTAAAATAAAGGCCAAAGTTTATTTTTAGTGATTCGTGAATACAAAAATGATATGGAAACGGAAGATATGATGATTAGAAATCGCCAATTAAGAATGTAATCAGCAACTACTTTCAGATTTTAGTAAATGCTAGAATCTGCGAACCTTTCTTGTATTTCAAGCTTGATATTTATATTAGCAATGCAAATTGGAGTTGAATGCGGCTAGCGCTGCAACAACTAACGGAGCGCGACCACGCAACATTCTGTAAGCGTTTACATAAAAGTAAATTTAGTAGACATAAATATAGTTTACATCTGTATCTCTTTTTTCTTTTCAAATGCAATGAAGTTGCAACTTAATAAAAGTAATTTTGGCGTAGAACTAATAAAACGCGAACTTTAAATATACGAGTGAAAATTATTTTTCTTTGACATCAAGTGAAATATAATTTTTACTTATATGTTTTTATTTTCAAAATAAATTATTTAATAACATAAAATGTGCATTTTTGAAAGAAGCATTTTAAACCACTAAAAAACGCAAACATTTACGTTTAGAAAAATATAGAATATATTATTGAGAAAGATGCAATATCGTTTAGTTGCATTCAATTTCATAGAATTTCAAAAATTTTTCGCTTTCATCAACAATTACTTCTTTTGATGAGAACCATAAGTAGAATAGCGTGTTTAGCTCTCTAAAATAGTTAGAAAATTTCATGACGATGTTGTGCTATCTCTCATTCTGGAAGTTCTAAATTTGGAATTAGGAACTTTTCTACGAGCATTTTATATATATTTCTTTAGATATGAATTTTATACACACAAATTGTAAATAAGATGTATATTTAGGACAAATTGATGTAAATTTATGACAAATTTATTGAACTTGTCATAAAGAATATTCGTATACTTCACGAAAAAAATCGTGCCTCTTTCTAAATTAAAGTGGGACAATTTATAATTTATATCATTTTAATTTAAAACTATACTTTTAATTAATTTGTCTTTTGAATAATTAAGAAGTAGAAAGTTTAAATAGGAAGAAGTTGTCGGTAGTGACGCAATCGGATTGATTCTTATTAAAGTGAAATTGAAAATATATTTAACTAGTTATGTCACTCTCGATATAAATAATTGACTTTAATTTAATATAAAAATACATAATGTGTATGTATATATATATATATATATATATATATATATATATAACTATAATATATATATAGATGTGTGTGTGAGTGTGTTGT